GCTGATGTATGTACAACAATTAATCTTGACCATCGATTCCCCCACATTTAATGCTTTCGCCCACCTTTGTATGGTTATGAATCCCAAAATTTAATTACTGTACATACAACAGCTGCGGAAATGACAATTTCATATATATATATATATATATATATATATATATATATATATATATATATATATATATATATATATATATGGTTATCTTTTTCTTTTCTTTTTATGTATATGTGGCTATCTTTCATTCTTTTGGATAAACTATATATGTGGTTAACTAGGCTAACTTTTTCCAAAAGACTCTAACTAACAAACTGCCGAACTAACCCCCCCCCCCCCCCCCCCCCCCCAACTATCCTAGCCCCTAATTAAAACCCTCCAATTACTGCTTAATATATCCTCTAAATCAATGTTTTAAATCTCAGATAGGTCATTATTTAATACTTTGTTGAAATATTGGATAATTGAGTTATAGTTTAACCGAATTTCAAAATAATATATAATAAAAAATTTATTATGAATATTATGTCCAATAAATAAAAGTCGTACAATGATAAATCTTTCGATTCGGTTGAACCCTGTTTTGGTCCGATTCAAACCGGGTCAACTGGTTCAAGCACATAACCAATATGATGTCAAGCTTGAACAATGAAGACATCGAATTACCGAAACTCGAATCAACGTGACCAGTCTAAGCCGAGTTTTAAAACACTGCTCTAAACCTCTATGCCAAATAATAGTCATGACAAATAATATGCCAAACAATATATGAACGAGTGGCTTTTCCCGTTTCTTGGTCAGTGGACCCATTTGTATTGACTTCTCAAAAAAAATTCTTTTTATGCCTTACTTATTTTAAAAGTATTTTTTACAAAAATTAAATTTATTTAGATTTTTAAAAAAATATTTGACTTTTACTTTTTTTTAAAAGCTAAAATTTTTAGCTTTCAAAAAAAGTAAATTTTTGACTTTTTTTTTTACTTAAGTTTTTTTTAAAAGCAGGTATCTAAACAGACTTTTTTCAATAAGTGCTTTTTTTCTTAAAAAAAATAACTTTTTGAAGAAAAAAAATACCATCCAAAAAGAAATACAGGTCGAGGCACCAGCTCCAAGTATAATTGCAAGTGCACTCTATAATTGCAAGCAATGTTATTAAAACCGGCCCGGTCATTGACCCGGTCGAGGTATTGGGTCATTGGGTCACTGATTCAACCGCATGACCTGGTAATTATATGCAATTTTATAATTTGTATTAAAAAATTATAAACATACTCCAATATCTAAAAAAAATGATAAAAATTTCAAATATTTTAATATAAAAAATAATAAATCGCATATTATTATCCAATAAATGATCAAACAAAAATATAATGATCGTGATAGGGGGCTTTAGGTTCAGAAAACGATATCTCTAATTATAAATCAAATCAAAATTTTATGAATAGTGCATAATTGAGATAATATTAGTGTTGTAAGTACATAACTTATGTAAATCAATAAGCAAAAAAATATTCAAATATGTCCATTATGATTTTTTTTTTTTTAAATAATTTGACTTTTTTTTGGGACCGGGCCGGGTCACCGGTTTTCATGAAAACCGGCCGGGTCGGACCGGGTGACACCGATTCTGATGCATGGTCGGTCCGTTGCTTCAACCAAACCGATTATATGACTGATTTACCGATTTCCGAGTCGGTCCGATTTTAATAAGACTGATTGCAAGTACACCCTATGACAATATCATCAAAACATCTTGCATTGTAGTCATAACCAATTAATACCAAATTCAAATATAGGACCAGAAAACACCTAAATAAAAAAACACAGCGAAAATTTCTAATGTGATCTAAAAAGTAAAAACCCCTCATTTTTCAATTTAATCTATTGGAGAAACCTAAAAGTTATATCCCATTCATCCTTAATTACTAGCATTAACTCCCAATCTGTCTAACACTGAAGTCATCCATGAAGACTCCCCGGCAACGGCGCCAAAAACTTGTTGCCTTGCTAACAGTTATGCAAGTAGCGCGCAAGTATACGCGACAACAAGTAATACAAGGCATATTTGAGACCCTTATATCGTTCCCACAAGGATTTTTAGCGTGTGTGACTAGACTAAACTTTGCAATTGCTAAAACTGAACCTATTCTAAAAATGAGTAAAAATGAAAAACAAATAAATACAATACTAATACTAACCAGTGACTTCTTTTCTTTTTAGATTTTTCTTTTAAAAATTGATTTAATAACTTAAGGAATGGAAAATCAAAAGGAAAATGAGCTGGTGTTTTTGATGCGAACAGAAAAGTTAAATGCAAAAGATTCTTAGATGAAGAAATTGGTAACCAGAATGAGAGGTGAGATATTGAAAATCAAATGATAAATAATGCGGAAGTGTTGAAAACTAAGGTTTAAAAACAGGTTGAGTTTCGGTTCCCCTTTTCCAACAGCCTCTGAATGAGTGCTAATTACAGTTCCTAAAAATTAATTCCCAATTGTTGGACCCTTTATTATTGCTTTTAATCTATTAAAAACATTTTTATCCTTAACCAACATTTGCACATCTCTGTGCTAAATGAAGCAAAGACCCTTATAGTCCAAACCAACACAACATGGAGGTTGTTCTCATCTCTGAGTAACATCCCTTGAGTGCTCTCACACTCAAGTCCATGTGTTCAACACAGTTCTGGACTTAGTCATTTCTCAATGACTAATTCCTAAAATATTATCCTATCATCAGGCCTTAACAATAGCATAAATAAACATCAACACAGTATTGAACAAAATGAGAATCAACTTCCAAAAACAGTAATCAGCACAAGTTCAAAGCTGAGGTTTGGGTACCTACACCCAACCTATAAAAAGTTTAGCTCCTATCCATAAGAATGGAGCTTACAAAAAGCAAATGAAAACTTAAAAATTACAGAAAGTAAAGTGCTTAAAATTAAACTACAACACTAGTCCTAACAACCGGAAATCACAGTGCTGTACTGACATGCATAAGGCTCATCAGATGAACAGTAGTCTCATTACAGTACCAGAACCAAAAAGAAATTAAAAACTAAAAATGTTCAGAAAAATAAAATAAAAACAGGAAATCCGAACCGAGAGAGGGGAGAGCCTCACTCACTCCTTTTTATATCTCCCTCTTCTTCTCTGCATGACCTTTTTATCCCCACCTCAGCAGGTATCATGCGCTTCTTGCGCGTTGCAAATGGGTGGTCCCCAGCTGCTCCACCCCTCGCTCAGACAATCCGGATGAAATTTCGCTCCTCAATACGTACGATGACTAGTGCTGTCCAAAAATTCCTTCAGCCCCACACTCACAACAGTATCCAGCTCACCAAATTAGTCATAGGTTTTAGTTTGGCATTTTCTGAACCAAAAAGTAATGGCTAGGGTTTGGTCTTTCCTCTTAATGGACCGTGGATGAGGGTCAAGACTCGATGGTTAAACCAAAATATAAAAAAAAAATTTGTTGAATTTTTTTACCGAATATAAAATTTTCGCTGTAAATGCGTTTTGTTGAAAATTTTGCTGGAAATATTTTTCGTCAAAATTTTTTACGTAAATATTTTTGGTCAAAATTATCGCTATAAATGCGTTTTGTTGAAAATTTTGCTGAAAATATTTTTCGTCAAAATTTTTACGTAAATATTTTTGGTCAAAATTTTCGCTGTAAATGCGTTTTGTTGAAAATTTTGCTGGAAATATTTTTCGTCAAAATTTTTTACGTAAATATTTTTGGTCAAAATTTTCGCTATCTTTGGTCAAAATTTTCGCTGTAAATGAATTTTGTTGAAAATTTTGCTGGAAATATTTTTTGTCGAAAATTTGGACGAAAATATTTTCAGTAAAAAAATTTGAAGAAATTATTGTCTATCAATTTTTTTTATGGAAATGTGTTTCGTCAAAAATTTTTACAGAATTATTTTTCGTTGAAAAATTTGACAGAATTGTTTTGTTGAAAGTTTCGACGGAATTTAGATTCTATCAAGAATTTTGACTGAAATATTTTGTCCCTAAAAAATTTATGTCAGTGATTATGACAAAATCATGTTCCGTCTCTATTTCAATGAAAAAAATTTTCGTCTCTATTTTCTTCGTAATATGATTTTTGTCAAATTTTCGACGAAATATTTTTCTTTGATAAATTCTGTTAGTGTTTGAGACTTTTCTAATAATGTCACATTTAAAAATGATTCATATTTATGTAATTTTTACATTTTAATGCTAAGGATAAAAGATAATACTTATTTGTTCTTTAATTGTAAAATAGTTTGGTTATGGATAACCATGATAACCAATTATTTTTATGGTTTGGTAAATAACCAGTTTATAAAATAAAATAAAGTTTCATATGAAACCGGTTTTTAAAATGCGGAACGGTTTGGTTATGGATCGGTTCGGTTCTTTTGGATATTTTGCACATCCCTAATTCTAACACAAACGAAAGTGAGATATCTTATAAGTTAGAGTAAACACCATTTTTGGTCCCTCACAATATCTACGAAATTCTTTTTAGTCCCTGGCAATAAAAAAGGACCAAATTGGTCCCTAACAGTATGTAAAAAGGGCCACGTTAGTGACAGAGGAATTGACATAAGGACTAACGTGGCCCTTTTTCATAATTTTAGGGACCAATTTGATCCTTTTTTATTGCCAGAGACTAAAAAGGATTTCGTAGATATTGTCAGGGACCAAAAATAGTGTTTACTCTTGAAGTTATCTACGATAATTAACATCTTGCATTATTTAAAGACAGTGCTATCATTCAATTTGATACAATTAAAATAAGTGATATTTCAACCTTTTTGGGGAAAGTCATGTTGAAAAAATAGTTTTTTTTAAAAAAAAAAAATACACACTTTTAAATTTATCTTATTTAAAAAAGTGGTTGGAATGTCCTATCATGAAACCTACTTCCCAATACCAGTTGAAACAATGGTATTTTGGGGGGGGGGGAAGATGCCAAAAGTGCGTGTGATATGAGAAATTAAGAGGAAAAAAAAAAACGAATTATTTTGGTATAAAAGCTGCTGGGAAGATGAATATCATGCAACAGAAAAAGAGGGAAATGGCTGGGAATACAATTCATGTGATGATGGTTCCATGGTCTGCCTTTGGCCACTTAATGCCATTTTTCCAGTTATCCATAGCTTTGGCCAGAGCTGGTGTTCATGTCTCCTTCATATCATCTCCCAAAAACATTCAAAGGCTTCCTAAACTTCCTTCAACTTTAGTTCATTTGATAGATTTGGTGGAACTTCCATTACCATCATTAGACAAAGAGCTCTTGCCAGAAGGTGCTGAGGCCACTGTGGATGTTCCATATGAAAAAATTCAGTACTTAAAGTTGGCATATGATCAACTCCAACATGCAGTGAAGCAATTATTGGTCAATCAGCTACCAGATTGGATAATTTGTGATTTTAGTCCCCACTGGATGGTAGATATTGCCCAAGAGTTTCAGGTAAAGTTAATTTTTTATTCTGTTTTCTCTGCTGCATCATTAGCTTTCTTTGGACCACCAGTTGCAAGGAAAGCTCGCTTATCTCTAGAAGAATTTACAGTACCACCAGAATGGGTGACTTTTCCATCGTCAGTGGCTTTTCAGAGACAAGAGGCAATATCTTTTTATGCTGGAAGAAACGAGGTAAATGCTTCAGGAGTAAGTGACTTTGAAAGGCTTGACAATATAACTAGTGCCTCTAAAGCTGTGATATTTCGCAGTTGCTATGAAATTGAAGGTGAATATCTGAATCTATACCAGAAGCTAGTTGGGAAGCCAGCGATTCCCGTAGGTTTATTGCCTGTAGAGAGGCCAGAGGGGGGAATTGTTGATGGGTCTTGGGGTAAGATATCTGAGTGGCTTGACAAGCAAGCAACCAAATCTGTTGTGTTTGTGGGGTTTGGCAGTGAGTGCAAGCTGAGCAAAGATCAAGTTTTTGAGATAGCTTTAGGACTTGAGGTTTCTGGATTGCCATTTTTATGGGCACTGAGAAAACCCAGTTGGGCAAACAATGATCATGATTCTCTACCTTCTGGTTTTAATGAAAGGACATCTAAGAGAGGACTTGTTTGTATGGGATGGGTACCGCAACAGGAAATATTGGCACATCCATCTATTGGGGGATCTTTGTTTCATTCTGGCTGGGGTTCTGTAATTGAAACACTCCAGTTTGGCCACAGCCTTGTTGTATTACCTTTCATTCATGATCAGCCTCTAAATGCAAGGTTTTTGGTGGATAAGGGTCTGGCCATCGAAGTGAAAAGAAATGAAGATGGGTCATTCACCGGAAATGACGTGGCCAAGTCCCTTAGACAAGCAATGGTGTTGGAGGAAGGAGAGAAGCTCAGAATAAAAACAAGAGAAGCTGCTGCAATTGTAGGAAATTTGAAGCTGCACCAGGATCACTACTTCGCAGCATTTGTCCAGTTTCTTAAGAATGAAACATGAAACCAGATATGAAGTTGAAGAGTTTACAAAAGTAATTTGAATAATCATTTATGTTAATGTATTAGTGAATTGGCTTGTACTGAGTGAGCTTTTCTACTATTATTTCCAAACATTGTAATGGTTATTAGCTCAAACATTTCGGGTTTCCCTATTTAAGTATGAATAAGTCTTTTTACTTTGTCTTTTGTATCTCATCATAACACATAATATTCAGCCTTTATTCCCTCTATACTTTCTACTAGATATTCTAACACTTGTTAAAGTTCGTGTCAATCTTCTTTGGTAATTCATGTCAAACGGGTATCAATTCTTCCTTCTTATCCTGGAATGCTATGGTGTTGGTACGAGACTTAATTAGATGAAGAAAAGTAGTCGAGGGAGCAGTTATTGCCCTCACTGAATTGTATTAAAGCACATCTTTTTTATAATTATTTGCCTTTGGTTGGCAATGTAGCCACTCAATTTTGTCCTTACACATAATAAATATTAATAAATAATAATGAAAAGTATAAAAAAATAAAAAATAAAAAATAATAAAAATAATCAATTTCATTTTTGTTTTGGTAAAAAAAAAAAAATTGTCCAAATTTAGATCCACCTAATACAAATAAGGCCAGACCAGCTTATATAACCCATCACTTGTCACCATTAATACACCTAATATTTCTCACAGGGATTATACACAAAATTGGGTGCACAAAGAAAGCTATGGGAATAGAGGTGTTTAACTCTCACACATTGATTGCTTACAAAATCGAATAAATTAACATATCCTTTGTATAGTTAGTTCGTGGCGGTGAAAGTTTGACTTCTTCAAGCCGAATAATTCATGTTATTGGACCCCACGAGATTATCTTTCGGCTCCTGCAGCAAGCGATGCCAGTAACTCATCATGCTCTTCCAATTCTTCAAATGTTTAATATTTAATATTGCATTATTGCTTTGCATCTTATGATCCTTGTTAAATAGATATTTTAATATTATAGATCATCAAGCATATGCTCTTTGATCTGCGCACTCACGAAGCAATGTGACATTTGTTCAATTCACTTCTATTTCTTTACATTATACTAACAATGGTAGCATAGTACTTTGTCTTGTTATAACATGATTGGAATATTTTAATAGTGTATATTAGCAAGCATCATTTTTGGTCTGCACATTCACGAAGATAACTTTGTAATTTCTCAATTCCTTTCTCTTTTACATTATACTAATGATGACCCAAGACCTATTAGAATTTATGATTATTTTTGAAATAAAATTATCATATTAAAAATATCATATAGGGATTAATTTAGCCGGGACGACTTATTGATTTCATAATTATTTTTTTTGGTCATTTTAGTTGTGACAGTTTGATAGCTCAAGTTTATTAAAAATCATTATTTTATATTAATCTACTTATTTTTCATAATAAAGGATTAGTTGAGTTGAGAGAGCTTGTTAATCCCGTAATCTTTTGGATCATTTAGCCATAATGGCTTGGTGATTCAAAATTCATTTAAATTTATCGTAAAATTTACAATAATTGAAAATAATTACATCAAATCTATTTTAAAAGAATTAGCTGAGTTGTGACAATTTTTCAATCCTGCAATTATCATTTTGAATTATTTTATCTACAACAGCTTGATCATTCGAAACTTTCAAATCAGGAACTTCCAAATCAATTATTTTCAAAAATTAAAATCAATCAAGACACAAACGTTTTCTATAGAACGACGTAGCTTTGAGTTTCTTATTGTACTAAGAGATACGTCGGAGCGGGCCTTTTCCCGTCAAGCCCAAAAAAAAATTCTCAGAAATTAGTTTTAGTTTCCAATGATCAATTTTGTTTAATTTTTTTGAGGTAAAAAAAAGATTTATAATATTATCAATAATTTGCACACTTAGTATAAGGTAACCGTTTTTTTAAACGGACATTGTAGGGTGCTAACACATTCTCAACTCGTAATCAGACTACCGAATCTATTTCTGTTTTTACAGATCAAATTTCTTTAATAAAAGGGTTTTCCAATATTTTTCCAAATAAATTTTTGAGGTGACTATTGTTTTTTAATTATTAATATCTTTCACCGCCCCACGTTGCGATCCTATTGCCAAATTGCCAGCCATAAGCAATAATGACATTTATCGTGTATAATAATGCTAGAGTCTCTAAAGTATTATCACTTTAGACTGTTTGGTCCAGAATCGATTACTTGGGAGGCCTCTTTGCCTACCCGAAAAGCCCTACACTTCACTAATTTGTGGTCAGTAATTAGATGTAATGCAGTTTTAAACAATTAGCAAACCATGGCAAGTGTTTGACATCTTTTGGTTCCTCTATTAGCAGCTGTATAGCTCTATCAAGTTAGCTTCTTAGATCAGATAACTGGAGTGTAAGCTATGAGCTACAACTCCGCCTGAATCCGCAACAATGCAGAGCCAGAAAAATACATAAAATGTGATTTAATAAGTCAGTGAGCTAATAAACATTATATTAATATATAACCATTACAATGTTTGAAAATAATAGTAGAAAAGCACACTCACTACAAGCCAATTCACTAATACATTAACATAAATGATTATTCAAATACTTCTGCAAACTCTAACTTCATATCTGGTTCCATGTTTCATTCTTGAGAAACTGGACAAACGCTGCTACGTAGTGATCCTGGTGCAGCTTCAAATTTCCTACAATTGCAGCAGCTTCTCTTGTTTTTATTCTGAGCTTCTCTCCTTCCTCCAACACCATTGCTTGTCTAAGGGACTTGGCAATGTCATTTCTGGTGAATGACCCATCTTCATTTCTTTTCACTTCGATGGCCAGACCCTTATCTACCAAAAACCTTGCATTTAAAGGTTGATCGATAATAAAGGGTAATACAATAAGGCTGTGGCCAAACTGGAGTGTCTCAATTACAGAACCCCAGCCAGAGTGAAACAAAGAACCCCCAATAGATGGATGTGCCAATATTTCCTGTTGCGGTACCCATCCCATACAAACAAGTCCTCTCTTAGATGTCCTCTCATTAAAACCAAAAGGTAGAGAATCATGATCATTGTTTGCCCAACTGGGTTTTCTCAGTGCCCATAAAAATGGCAATTCAGACACCTCAAGTCCTAATGCTATCTCAAAAACTTGATCCTTGCTCAGCTTGCACTCACTCCCAAACCCAACAAATACAACTGATTTGGATGCTTGCTTATCAAGCCACTCAGATATCTTCCCCCAAGACCCATCAACAATTCCTCCCTCTGGTCTCTCTATAGGCAATAAACCTACGGGAATCACTGGCTTCCCAATTAGCTTCTGGTATACATTCAGATATTCACCTTCAATTTCATAGCAACTACGAAATATTACAGCTTTAGAGGCACCAATTATCTTGTCAAGCCTTTCAAGGTCACTTACTCCTGAAGCATTTACCTCGTTTGCTCCAGCACAAAAAGCAATTGCCTCGTGTCTCCGAAAAGCCACTGATGATGGAAAAGTCACCCATTCTGGTGGTACTGTAAAATTTTCTAGAGATAAGCGAGCTTTCCTTGCAACTGGTGGTCCAAAGAAAGCTGCTGCTGCAGCAGAGAGAACAGAATAAAAAATTAGCTTTATCTGAAACTCTTGGGCAATATCTACCATCCAGTGGGGACTAAAATCACAAATTATCCAATCTGGTAGCTGATTGACCAGTAATTGCTTCACTGCATGTTGCAGTTGATCGTATGCCAACTTTAAGTACTGAATTTTTTCAAATGGAATGTCCACAGTGGCCTCAGCACCTTCTGGCAAGAGCTCTTTGTCTAATGATGGTAATGGAAGTTCCACCAAATCTATCAAATGAGATAAAGTTGAAGGAAGTTTAGGAAGCCTTTGAATGTTTTTGGGAGTTGATATGAAGGAGACATGAACACCAGCTTTGGCCAAAGCTATGGATAACTGGAAAAATGGCATTAAGTGGCCAAAGGCAGACCATGGAACCAGCATCACATGAATTGTATTCCCGGTCATTTTTCTCTTTTTCTGTCACATGATCTTCCCAGTAGCTTTTTAACCAAATTAATTCTTTTTTTTCTCTCTTAATTTCTCATATCAGACCCACTTTTTGCATATCAGACCCACTTTTTGCATATTCCCCCCCCCCCCCCACCAAAAAAAAATACCCTTGATTTCAATGGTATTGGAAAGTAGGTTTAATGGTGGGACATTTCAACCAATTTTTTTAAATAAGATAAATTTTAAAGTGTGTATTTTTTTAATTATAATATATATAATATATATATATATATATATATATATATATATATATATATATATTTAGCATGACTTTGCCCAAGAAAGGTTGAAATATCACTTATTTTAATTGTATCAAATCTGAATGATAGCACTGTCTTTAAATAATGCAAGATGTTAATTATTGTAGATAACTTATTAGATATCTCATGATGCACTTAAGTCACCATAAATTATTATAATTGCAGACGTTTCAGTTTTAAAGCTTTTTATGGATTTTAATAATTGCGGACGTTTCAGTTTGCATGACTTTATGTTTTGTTTATGGTTATTTCCGTTTGTATCAGTTTTAAGACCATTGATGGTCCTTTGTTGTCAGTTACTTTTTGTATTGCCTTTAAAAGGCTGATTAGAAGGATGTAAGGGAAGACTTTTGATGATTGAAGAATGATAATATAGCAGAAAACTTCTGCATTTTCCTGAAAGCCTACTTTCCATATAATTTTGCATAATTTGGTATCAAAGCCTGGTTGCCTTAAAGATGGCTGAGCAGGAAAATTGCGGAGGTCGTGGTCGTGGACGAAGAGGTCGTGGCGGCAGAGGACGCGGTCAACCTACCGATGACGATTATTATACTGATGCGAGAGATGCTGAAATTGAGGAAAAGGACAGACAGATCCAAGAACTCGAACAACTGCTTGCAGAGGCACAGTTGCACGGGTCAGAAAGGAGACAGGAATCTGAACTGTCATCTCTAGAGGAAGAGAAGGATGTGAGGGAAGACTTTTGATGATTGAAGAATGATAATATAGCAGAAAACTTCTGCATTTTCCTGAAAGCCTACTTTCCATATAATTTTGCATCATTTGAAGAATGAAGAAATTATTGCAACACAAATTTTTGCCTGCTCAATACA